CATAGAACCGATAAATGACATATGACCTTGATAGGGATGGTCCATGCGGTAATTATTAACGAAATATGACACTCCGGCGTACTCCTACTAATATTTTATAAAAAATGTACTTTTATAGAACAAAATAAATCAACTTTCCTTATTTTAAATCCAGTTCTTAGTATATCTGGGGAGATCCGGTCTTTTGTCAGCTGTCAGTAAAATCCCACCACAAATGTCAGTTGTCAGTTAGATTTTCAGAAATTTTGGATGTCAGACAACATAATGGATATTGGTTGAAAATTAAATTTGTTTAAATAGAACCTGCCAATCACTCCCGAACCAGCCAATCATATTCTATGCAAATCAAATACCAAGGGTTTTACGTGGTTTGTTTCGATTTTTGGACATTCCTCAACCTTTTCTACTCTGTCTATTTTAGAATGTCAAGACTATAAAAGTCTGACCGGGGCAGGAAGAAAGATAACTTACGGCAATCCAAACAAGGTTTGTGACAAAGGACTGAAGGGTTGGTATCGTTTTGAAGGAGCAGCAGGTACACGAATGCCTACTTCATGTCCACCAAAACACCGTTGTAACACTCACGCATCCGGTTGGCTAAATGGTGCTCATCCCACAGTGGCTGATGGTCAGGTCACCAGGACAGTTTGCTTCCACTGGGGGTCAAACTGCTGCAACTGGTCAAGTTCCGTCAAAGTGATAAACTGCGGCGGTTACTATGTTTACTACATTACAAGAACACCCGCATGTTACCTCCGTTACTGCAGCACAGACTAAATCGATGCTGGTTTAGAAAATTATCAATTGCTTGAGTCGTCTTGTGAAAGATGTTAACCATAATTTATGTGCATTTTAGTTTGGCTATATCAGATATTATATCACAAATGATAATAATAATAATAATAATAATAATATCATAAATTAAAAATTAAAAACGAAGAAGAAGTAACATTAATTGAGGGACTTGTCATTATTTATGGCCCGTTACGTGAAGAATTTTGGTAGATCACAAGGTTTCTCAAGGGGGCACGGAGAAAGAATTAGTCTTCGCCAACAGAGTATGAGGGAAGAAGACTGTAGAAATTGAATATCAGTAAACTGGAGATGAGAGCGAAAGGGTGGGGATCATAAAAAAATGTAGAGAGCCGCATGGAGAGGTGTCAGGTAAATTATATTGTGACTCCAGCAAAGTCGTCCATCAGCAAAGCCCTTCACACTTGTCTCCGCCCCCTCCCCACACAAGTGATAAATAATGACAAGCCCCTTAAGTGTGGCTGTTTGTAAAAGTTTCCCAATAGTCTTAATGATAAAGAAGTTAGCCAGTGTGTAAAGCTTAAGGTTCTCCATACTCCAAAGTTCTATTTTTCTCGCGTATTTAATGTAGCATTTTGCCTGGCTGAGGGCTGATAATGATTTTCAAGGGACGAGTTTCACATTGAACACACAAGAAACTTTCCTCGAAGTAATTGCATGAAGTGGTACGCTGTGTTTTTGGTGGCAAAGGGTCTTTCAAATCACTTGCACTGGTTACTCATTGAAATAAACAAACAAAATACTCGCCAAATGCCTCTGAGAAGATCCACTGTTAAGTTACCTTGACCACAAATAGACTGAGTCAGAACACCCAATTATCTTGATTAAAAATAAAATGATTCAAAAACTCAAAATATCAAAGGTGGTTAATTAGAAACTTTTAAACTCAGTGTTTTCTAGTTATACTCGTAGTTTTGTTTTTACTGCTACCAAGAAGAGTCTTAAACATTTTTTTTCTTTTATCATAAATTTCATTTTATTTTTAGTTCAAAAACCTAAAAACAAAACCAAAAAATCGCCTGTGACATGCTGTGTTGAACATGGTCAGTGTGGTGTTTGATAACGAAACTTTATGTAAATCATAGGACGGCCCAATTCGACGAGCCTCCCATTTAAATCAAACCCTTTTCATTTTCTTCCATCGCCCGGATGAGTTTATGACTTTACAGATAGAAAATGATGTGCCACGATTTACCGGAGCAATTTTTGGGCATAAAGTTTCTACGAGACCTCCTCAGGAAATTAGGTGCGCCCTGATTAGGAGGTTAATTAGAAAGAGATCAATTTGCGGTTGAAGGTTTGATATCAAGTTTTTCATTCAAGATGACTTTATTATGGCGGTGAAAACGGTAACTTTCACTATTATTGAGCAGGGGTAAATCTGAGCGCTTGCAGCGAAGATTCGGAGCCAATTTCATATACAGACATTAAATTGCAGTTGCAAAAAATAGTTCAGCTGCTTTACCAGGCTTCAACGTTTGAAAATTGCTCTTTGAACATGCGTCTGTATTAATTGCAATGGAATGGGCCGGCGCTTGTGGATGATTGCAAAGAAGAAATGCTAACTAAATGCGAAGCGTTAATTGGAAGTTTTCAAAAGACTTAAACTAACAAAAAAAGGGAGAATTTACTACAAAAAAAAAAACCTTGAAAATGCGGGCATTCAAATTGGGTGTCTCTGTAAGAGCGGTCGCGTCGATTTTGCTTGAGACACGGATTTCGCTCATTTCTTGTGTGTTGTAAGACATTCATGTATCTATACTAAAACCACAATCCGTTTGATCAAATCTCTTTATTTTTCAGTTTTATGGAAATTAAATTTCACTCCAGCGAAGGCTTGTCGTGACACTTTTCAAGACTTTAATTTAAGACAACTTTTGAGGACAATTTACAAAAAACTACGTAACTCAGCAAAAATTAAATACCACAGCCATGTACATTAACTCTATATTATTTATCGAGGCGACTTTCGTGAAACATCACGTTTCAATCAAGCAAACAAGAAGACTTATCGGTTCACCTAAGTCACACACACTAAAACCGATCAAATTCAAGGTAAATTTTTGAAGAAGTGAGACGTTCTTAACTGACCCAACTAACATAGCTAGGAAGTAGGTGCCATAGAAAAGGTAACTACAGAAAAAAACTTTGCGGCCCGACCTTTACGAAAGCTTTATAACTCTGTGAATGTACCTAATTTTCGGCAATCTAGCAGGTAGATCTAAAAATCAAGCAGGTAGATCTAAAACCGTCAGAAATACATACGAAAGCAATTCAAATGAAATTTACTTTCAATTCAAGCGGCAAAATTTGAAACTGTTCGTTAAACTTACCATTCCTACATCCCCATGCAACCATTTATTCCAACAATTCAAACACTAAAACTAGTGTTGGAATTCCCCTCGTCGATTCCACCGTAAGAAATAACCTGTGCTACCCGAGCTTTGACTCAAATGTGAAGTACGAATCAAATAACATAACTGCTTCATCTTGGAGGCAATATCATGCTGGTATTTTGATTTTCAGATCGACAAGAACGGTGATCAGGTAGCGATCGCAATGCTTACCTCATAAAACTGATCGCTGACCAGCCGCTGAGTGAAAACAGTACGGCTCAGTGGGGACGGTACTCACCAATCACCAAGCCGGAGACAGCAAAATCACTTCCCAACTTCACACCTTTAGGCCCCTCAGAAAGCTTTTCAAAGAACTTTTCGATTGACTGATTTATACCAATTATTTATTAAACCTGGGAGATTTCTTGTTAAAGTTTAAATCGATTAATGAAAAAAAATAATATTGCAGAGTGTATACGTGTTATTTTCTAAAATAAACGGTAACTTATTTCAACATATTTGCGTGTCCTTCTTATCTACGCATTATCTATATAATGACGAGAATGCCAAATTTTATTCGCTAATTTTGAACTTCTCCAGGTTGTGTATTGTTTGTGACTTGATTCAAAGAAAATTATCGACCGTCTACATATTGAGTCATGCAAGCGTTACGACTGATAAAGTTTATGCAACGATTCAGGACAACTCAGGATCTCTTTTACTTCCAATCGTTAGCAAAACTTTAAGCCCTTTATGTAGAAGATAAACAAAAGAAGTTTGAACGGTCAAAAAGATGTCTTGGTTGGTTTTCAGAATTATGCAAATGAGCTCTGACACTGGCGCAATGGAGGAAACACATTGATTTGCGTTGTTTTCAAGATGTTGGTAGATGAAAGCAAGAGAGATAACTGCAGGCTTGAGGTTATCAGTGACCTTACTGGTGTATGAACTTTCCACTGATATGCTTTTTTAGCCCGATTTACGCCTACATTTTGAGAATTATTTCTTATACATCGGTGAACTTTTGGTATGCAAATTATGTTCGAACAGATGGGTCTCTACTGATCACGCTGGTATGAATAATATTTCATGCGAAATTTCCATATTTAATATGTACTCTGAGTGAATGAATCTTGTATATTGTAGCTAGAGAAAATTCTGTGAGCTATACTATTGTAGTCGCAGCGCGCTCGATTGCTGTCCACACGGGCAGTCTAGCCAAAAAATCAATTTTAGCTTGTGACGCCAAAAAAAAGAAGAGAGAATTGGAGAGCGACCAAACTATTTTTTGAGACATGTGTCTTCAAACCATTTTTTACGTGCAAAAAAATAAATGAAACCTTTTTTTCTACGGGAAGTCGAGAGTACCGTTCTTAGCGAGAGTAGCACATAACGAAGTTTGCCTCAGTAAAGCCATGTTTTCTAAAAATGTGCTCTAAAATCTCTGAGGAAATTTGGTCAGAATAACACAGAGTTAGCAAGTGAAATATAAAAAAAAACGGTTTTCTAGGCTTTTTTGTGCGCTTGCACTTTTACAGAGTTTAAATAATGTTTTCTTTTCTCTTGATGCTGCCTATAATGATTGAAATGTCTACAAGAAGGGTCCCTTTGAATAGCGAGTGAAAGATAGAAATAAATGCCTGAGGACAAAACTAACAAAATTATCTAGCCTCTCTGTGAGGAGCTGTTAGACATCTTTCAAAGTTCCAAATGTGATTGGCTAACATGTTTCCAGAAAGTTTGGCGTCAAATTGGTGATACATCACAGTCAACAAACTGCTGTTAAGCTTCTCGATTTGCTCAACAGTTACAAAACATCGAAATATTTCTTTTCAGCCGGCTTTAGAGGACATGGGAGTTTTTCTCCACTTGTTCTTCATCTCTGTGACTGTCCCCCTCGGACAAGTTCTATCCTGTCCAGATGGTGGGTTTTGAATCTTGCATTTGTTGATAAGAAACTTAAATATTTCTCTTCTGAAATTTTCAGCTATGCAATTTACTAATTTAAAAAGGGAACGCGAATTCTTAAGGACTGAAATATTTAAATTGTCGTATATACATGCAGAGGCCTAACTAACAAAATTGCGACAAAATACATAGTCCAATTCAATGCGTGGTTGTCTTTTATTCATTCAAAGATATTCTCGATTCTTTTTCACCATATGCGAACGTATTTTTGCATAGTTTTTTAGGTATGACCGAACAATCTTCACTATTTCTTACCTAATCATATTTTTCGCTGCTTATAGTCTTGAATTCTTTGAAACACTCATATCAAAATAAACTAAAATTAAAATTAATGACAAGATTTTCGCAAAAAAGATCTTACTGTTATGAAAAGCCGTGCACTCAAGGAAAGACAAATTAATGTGCTAACTAGTTGAAAAGGAAATTTTTTTCATTCCTTTATTTTTACATTCTCTTGTGGAATAAAAATATTCCTTTGGGAACATAATCATTCGCTGTGTCATACTTTTTTGACATAATTTTTTCATTCAAGACAACTTTTCTAGAAAAATTTTCCACCTTGAAAATATGATGCAGGCAGGTGTTAAACATAGACCAAAAGTTTGTCTTGTAACTTTTAGAACTCGGAATTTGATGCATATTTTCCTTGTTATAGCACTCCTGCTGTGTTTTGTATTGTGCGATATTTGAAGCCTGACGAGTAAGTTTTTCATAGCCAATAAAAACAGAAAGAAAATTGTTTAAATGCAGGGAAAGCAGTTATGTTTTCAATAATGCAAACGGAGTACTGACTGCGAATAAGTGGGCGCATTAAAACTTCTCACTTGACAGGTGGCTAACATATAGAAGTTATGGATGTGTAACCATCCCATGGTGATATTAATTAACAACTCTTTATTAGTACATTTTCATACTTCAATTAAAATCGAAGCACAATGAAGCGACGGGAAGATCTGAAACTTCAATAGCGGTTTATTAGGGGTCTTTTTAAATATCTATTCAACACGTTCGCGTTTTGTCGAAAACAAGTTTAATTGATACGAATGATGGAAAAACAAAACAGAACAAAAACAAAATAAAGATCATAATGTAAGACTAAGCATGGTTTGTGGTTAACGTGTGCATATTGTTGAATGGTGCACGAATGAAGTTTGCAGAGCCAAAAGGACTTTTCGACTCAAATACTTACTGTTCAAAAAAAGAGTTTCCAATTTCGCAAGCCTCACTTGGGGTCAGAAAGCTCAGTTTCCTTCTTCACCGCCATAACTCGCACAGCGGTTAGGAATGAGAAACGGTTAACTACAAAAGTATTTTCGTGGATTGACAGAGCTTAAGGTTTTTTGTTTTGTTTTGTTTTGTTTTCGAGCAAGTATTATCTAGCATGTTTACAATTCATCTTGAGCTTCAGAAGGTGAATCTACATCAGGATGGAACACAAAAAACAATCTTTAGAGTTTTGAAACCACTCGGTGAGGATAGACGGCAACTTACTTGCTGAAGTAAATTACAAACCTCGTGTTATGTTTGCTCGGCCATGCCTAAGTCGAGACACAATGAGAGCTCATAAGGAGTTTCGTAGGACTTGCAAACTCGCGCTTTGATATCATGACTTTGATAATAAATTTTGATTTGAAAGAATGTACAAAAGCTGGAAGTTCATGACTGAAACGTCTTACCTATCATATCATTTAACGTTAATTGCAGTTTTCTGAGGACGAATTTTTCATCGGAGTTTGGGCTCAACAATTTTACATTTTGAAACTTTTGAAGGTCATACCATCCTTTTCTGCCAATCATCTAGGCTCGAAAAAAAATCCTGTCCGATGGTACTGTTAATACAACTTGATCTCCGGTAACTCAGTGAATATGACGTAAATATCGATATACTTACCACGTGCATCGAACAGCATCTGAGACCCTCAAAATTGATAACCCACTTCGCTTTTTAACTCTTACTAATTTAAATTTTTTAGATCAATGCCGTATATTGGCATTTCCATCCACTTTGTTTTTCGTGGGAGAACGCCTTCTTAACCACACCATAGCAAACATCAGTGTGATTGACAGGGACACGTGTGAATATCGTTGCTACTTGGATCACAACTGTGTCAGTGTTAATTTTTATTTTGGAGAAAAAGGAGCAAAAGCACACAACTGTGAACTGAATAACTCAACGAGTAAAGAGTACGATAAGGATCTGGTGAAAGCAGCGAACTATGTATACCACGGAACTAAGGTACCAGTCGTTAAATGTCAGTCCCACTACTCTCTCTTCTTTCAATTCATCAGAGCTTATATTCATGTCTAGAAAACGCTTTTTTATTCATCATTTGTTAATAAAGGTTTAGACAAGTGCTGATGTCGTTACGAATCTTTTGAAGATAAGCACCAACAAAAAACAAAAGTCCTTTGAGTGCCTTGAGGACACCCAACTCTATTAACAAAAGCAAGTAATTTTTCTTAGTCATTTCAGAACGTTGGTCGCCGGCCTTAAGTAAACAATTGATCGCTGTTTTTCTTGCAATAAAGAAAGCACAACTACGAAACACTTCATTCATCTTAAATATTTTTCGTGGGCAAGAATAAATGGAATGGTCTTTCGAATGCATTTCTGCTAAAGGTAGCTAGGGAAAGACAATTAACTCTATAATAGCCTGTCTACAGACACCCTTTCCCGACTTTTCTGAGTGATAGCAGTGACTTACACGGGCTACATTTGAATTTCCTTTATCCGCCAAAATTATACTCAGGTCCTCGGCGAAATTTCGAAGAGGGCTGTCAAGATATTAGACAGTTACTTGTGACATCTTATCCAGGGGAACGACAATTCATGTCACCTCATGCTGAAAATGTGGTATATTTAGCTCTTGAAGTTATGCAATGCGTCTAATGCAGAATTTCTCTTTTAAACCAGTGACGAGTTTTTATTATTATTATTATTGTCGAAGAATTTTTGCGCTCAAGCTCCATGCAAGAACTACGGCACCTGCCAGTCGGGATTTACAAGAAAACGATATCGATGTTTATGTGCGTCTGGATTCACTGGCCACGATTGCGAAAAAGGTATCACTTAAAATGATAGAAATGAATTTTTTTTCGGATTTTAACACAGTGGTCTATTTCTTCATAGGTTCGAGATTTAGAATCGTTTGCATTTATGACACATATTAAATATGACCCATTGTGGGGAAAAGAAGGATTGGGGCGCAATTTTAATTTTCATGCTCTTTTTCTCAACTCTGGTTAGGCGTCTTGTTTACGATGAACAGCAAAGAACTCAAGCCACCTTACTTAAGTTTTGAATGCCTTTTTTTAATTTCAAGACCATCCCGCCTCTTTCAAGTTGCAGTCTCACCCCAGGCTAGACATTCAGTGCCGGAAAAAGCGGGCTAAGAATTTTCCTCTCCACAGCCCCGCATTTTATTGCTCACTTGCTTCTTCAGTCGCCACTACTGACAAATAGCATGACACATCATATCTCCCCCCCCCCCCCCACCCTCCGTTATTCAGTATCTTGAGCAGAGGTCTATTGATTATGTTTTAGACATCGACGAGTGTGCTACAAATACCCACAAGTGCGGCCATGAAAATGTCATTTGCTTAAATACCGAAGGATCATTCAAGTGCATTTGTAAACATGGATTCAGTGGGGATATACACAATTGCATAGGTAATGAAGATTGCTTAGAGCGGGATGCCTCGTCCTAATTAACCTCTGGTAAAACAAACGTTTTGTAATTCTAATCATAATATACTCTAGTGATCACATCTAAGTGATCACATCTAAGTGATCACATCTAAGTGATCACATCTAAGTGATCACATCTAAGTGATCACATCTAAGTGATCACATCTAAGTGATCACATCTAAGTTATCAACTATCTTATATGAATAACATATGATAATCACAAATTTTTCTTCCTGTAGAAATGGATTAACGCGCATTAGCCCCTCTCCCCCCTTCATGGTAGTGACAATAACGGTCATGGGTACGATCCGTTGATTTTGTTTCAGACATCGATGAGTGTGCTCTGAATTCCCACAATTGTAGCGAGAATGCCAATTGTTCAAATACCGCGGGATCTCACATCTGCTCTTGTAATCCTGGATTCAGCGGGGATGGACATGAATGCGAAGGTATAGTCTTGCAGAGCATGACCTTGTTAGGTAGAAAAAATTCCGTGTGTATTCCTTTCTCCTTAAGTACGCCCCTAAAGGATATAAACAATGCTACTCGCGATAAAAATAGTTTTTCGTTTGTAAACTCATTGAAGGTTTAGACATATGCTTACTGAATTAATTTATGGCACGATGGCTTAGCACATCAGGAGAAACTAACAAAGGCAGGGTATCTGAAATTCTCATTATCTTTGGTAGGAGACGAGCCCCAGATTCCTGATTTTAATTTTCCTATACCATCAAAAATGGATGAGCTCGCAATGCTGTATTTTTTAAATAATGTGTATGAAAGCCTTCCTCCCTTGAATCGCCCTCTCTCTCCATCTTCGGATAGGCTGGAAAACCCATGAATATAACAAGGACAACGCCATTTAAAGAAATTACGAGATATCTTTAACTTGTATCTTCTCATTGTCATTCTGTAATTCAGACATCGAAGAATATGCTAAAATTACCTGTAACTGTAGCAATGATAATTCTACATGTGAAAGTTCGGAGGGATCTTTGAAGTGCGTTTGTAAACCTGGATTCAGTGGGGATGGACAAAATTGCACAGGTAACGGAATTTCTCTCCTTCTCAAAAGCGATTAAAGCAAAGATCTCTTGTTCTTATCTTTACGGTAAAAAACCAGTCCAAATCAATTCGTAGTTTTTGGTAGAATTCAAATTGCCTTTTAACGTCAAGATCATACATTTACTATCCCAACTTTCTTTTTTCCCACAAAACTGTATCATCAGGTCCTACTGTCATTTCGAATTTTAACATTCAACCACCCCTTCCCCCCCTCCCCCCGCCTCACCTCCACATTCTGCCATATTCTTCCTCAATACGAACAAAGACGATCACGGCGTCATGGTGCGTTGATCTCATTTCAGACATTGATGAGTGCTTTGAAAATATTCACAACTGTATAAAGGAGAACGCAACTTGTACAAACACTGAAGGATCGTTTACTTGCTCTTGCAATCCTGGATTCACTTGGGATGGACACAACTGCACAGGTAATACAAATTAATCAGTGCAAGTTTTTTTGCCGTTTCAACAAGTAAAACTTACACAGCTACCTGCACCAAAGGCGATTTCTTTTTTGACGAGACTTTCCAGTTCTGTCAGTATCAGACGTGACGTATTTATTTGATTTCGCTCTCCGTGGTCGACACATGCTGTTGCTAATCCCAACTTTAATTTTACCTGTATCATCTTCTTTAGCTGACAATGTATAACTGTCGTTACAGTCTTTTCTGCATTTTTTTTTTGGATGAAAATTCTCCGCTCTCAAGTCCTACTGTTATTTCCAAGTTTTATATTGTCTTCCCTCCCTCAACCCTTCCACATTCTGCTACCACATTCTGCCTCAACATAAGCGAAGACGATCACGGCGATACGGTATGTTGATCTAATTTCAGACATTAATGAGTGCTCTGAGAATACTCACAACTGTAGCAAGGGGAAAGCCACTTGTGCAAACACCGCAGGATCATTCATCTGCTCTTGTAAGCCTGGGTTCACAGGAGATGGGCACAATTGCCAAGGTAAAATCCCTACAGCCTAATATCATTTACCTTAAAAAAAAATTCACTGTTGCCGTTGTCTGCTCCCTAAGGGCGCTAACGCACTGAAAAAAACTTCAATCCACAGGGCCTGGTTGTTTTTTTATCGGACGATTTAATTATGCCGAAAAAGGCATAACGAGATCTAAGAGTAACGTTATTTGACTGGTTTGTCTGGGGATCAAGGGTCCACCTGGCATTCTCAGTCTATCAGCAACGATGATTTTTTCCCTCGTCTTGCAAAACACTATTACTCTGCAGCTTCCCTTACAATTTTTGCCCCGATTAATGGCATCATTTCATTCATTCATTCATTCCTATACCTGTTGTCTTTTTGCACTGTGTTCAATTTCTTTCCACCGCCTTGATTGACTTTCGTTTTCTCTGTCGCGTTAACTAAGAATCAGTGGCTTGATCAATATCACTAAATGATGACGGAAGTTTTTGTTCTCTGTGCAAACTTTAAATCCAAATTATCTCATAAACAAAAGATTGCAAAACTCCTACGATTACAATGAGTATACTGCACTGAAGTGTTTGTCTGAAACCATCCTGCGCCTTGAGTTTTACAGCCAAAACCATTACAACTGGCATGGTGTAAAATATGGACTGGACTATTTTTGGACCATTTTTGGACCATTTTTGGACCATTTTATAGGGGGAATGTACACCATTAGTACCCAGGGAGGGGTGGGATGCAGTCTATCAGTACTGAGGGAGGGGTGGGAGGCAGAGTGTTATTACTCAGGGAGGGGTGAGAGACGGAGTGTTATTACTCAGTGAGGGATGAGAGACGGACTATTACTACACATGAAGGGGTGGGAGGTGGTTGTAATAGTAAACACTTTTGGTTCAAGGGTAACTGACGCCGAAATTTTCACTTTTTTTGTCTGAATACAGTCCTCTTAGGTTAAAGAATCCTGAATGAGCAAATAAACGATATATTGTGCAAAACCAAATTTTCTAAATATTTTTTTTGACGCTTAATCGACGGCCACTTTGAAACGTTCCGATTCAGATCAAGTGATATGATACGTCACACGTGTGTGTAAGGTAGTGAAAAGCGTCCTGACCTAAGCGTCAAGAGCTAAAAGTAACAACTTCGCCCTCGCTGTATGGCTGCTGCCGAAATTTTCGAGCGAATCCATTCTGATATAGGCCACCAATTAGAGACTATGAAAGACGTAGTGAGAAATAAAGTAAGGAAGGTTGAATAATCGATACGCGACGGATCGCATGTCTTTAATTTATTCAGAGCCGGCACAGGTAATTTGCACGTCATTCCAAACAGCTGTAAAAAAATATATTCCCATAATTTTCCTCGTAACCATTATCGAGTCCCATAGGTAAAGAAATATTTAACAATCCATGCCGAAAAATATTTGACTTTAGATTTTGTCCGATGTATATCACTGTGACCTCAGGCCCATCGATTCTGGAGTGAGCGTGACTAAGCGCCGCGTATCAAGGGAGGTCGTCATCTGGTTTCGTGAACGAAATTCTTCTTCCATATTTCGGAAATGTAAAAGAATTATCCTTTTTTAACGCAGACTAGTGAGCAAAACAAAGGAATACTTCTTGCTGTAATAACTTTTTGTTTATTTCTTTCGACGCGTTTCGTCTCTAGCTGAGAGTTCTCCAGGAATTCTTACAACAACTATAGCACATTCGTGTACCAAGTTTATTTAACTTCCAGTGGAAGTGTATAATAACAGAAACATGCTGTAAACGGATGTTGCAAGAAATGCCTCGTTAAGAACGCCACACTCAAGCGTTGTTTCTCATTTGCGACCGCACACATGATGAAACCAATCCTGTACGAAAGGTTACTCGTTTCAAAAATTTATCACTGTCAGCTGAGTGAACAGTTAATTACTCACACGCGTTTGTCGTAAATAAAACAAGCCGACAGCCTGAGAGAGGAAAACATTAAAGTACATGTCATGGGACTACCTAGCTTCCACCGTTTAAAAGGTAGTGCTTTGGTAAAAAGAAAGGAACCGAGTCAGCGACAAACTCGTGCTACGCAAATAACAAGCACGTAATGTTTCTCAAACTACGACCTGAATTTAAAAAAAAAAAAAAAAAAAAAAAATATATATATATATATATATATATATATATATATGTTCATGCTCAAGTTATACAAAACTGTACCATTCTTAGTCGCGTTGACATTAACGATATGGACGGAAATTAAACCAACAGGATGTAAAGCAAAGAAAACGAAAACCGAAAGCTATTTTTTGCTGCATCGTGTTTTAAAGTAAAAGCCTATAAAACTTTAATCGTTCGCCAAATTCAACACAAGAAAACTTAAAACCGATTCAGTTGCGTGGAAACGTGTATAATCTATCCAATTCAACTAAACAAGCGTGGATGTTTATTTTTTCAGTCAGTGAAACCTTAGCGTCACAAGGTGCGTGCGTGTAGCATTAAAACAGTTCGCACCCACGTTATTCAAGAGTCTGCACATTCGGTTTTCTTTACTTGATCGTTCCTAAATTTAATAAGCGTCTGATTTTCAGATACTTTATTTACAAGCGTAAATGCACTCACCATTCTCGCTTTCTTGATTGAGGCGGCCGCGGCGCACGGGCTCATGATCCTCTTCTGACTCTCGCGCTCTATTTTAGGTTCGTCCTGGCGGTTCAAATCGCAAGGGCCGGATTTCACCATCAGGTTTATAAACACTTTCATTATACGTATACAGCATATAACTGCTAAATTTATCTATCTTCCTTTTGTCGTTGATCTTATCAGACGAGATCGCGAAATTTCCAGTCCTTAGCTCTTAACTTAGCAGCATATAGAATTCACAAGCGCTACCGAAATTTTAACGTTTACACCTTTACTAAACAAAATCATTAGCGAACGATTTTGGGAGTTAATCACCGTCACCAGAAATCGCGACCAGTTAATCCTCGAGACTCCTCTAGGTCTGTTTTCCAATTTGCCTGGGCCGCTGCCAATCACTTGTTGCGTAAAAACCTTCGAAAGCTGTGAAGTGGAACTATGGCGGCTACTCTTGCTGAGTAGTCCGAAAGTAGTCCTGAATTTCTTTTAATTATCTGGAGCTTGGATATGCCAGGAGAGTTTCATTGACAGCTGGATTATTCCCCATGTTGTGAAATACAAAAAGAGAAACGTGAGGCACCTGAAAGATGATTCATGCTAAACCTCTCTGCGTACTAATAGTTCGTCCTCCACCCTTCCCTCAGTAACAACAGTCTGCCAACCATCCCTCCATGAGTACTGATAGACTGCATCCCACCCAACCCCTAGTACCAATGCTCTGCCTCCTTCCCCCAATAAAATAGTCCATATTTTACCCTATGCCATCACAGCTAAACTGATTAATAAGCTTACAATAATTCAACGCTTTCATCTCATAAGACTCGACCAACAATTACTCTTCAGTTTTTTTTTGATGATCACTTCCGCTCTTGTATTTGCAGCGTCAGTCATCACTGCCGACAACAGTCGTCTTCAGTTACTCCTAAGCGGGTAGCTCAGACTTCATGATTATATCATGAAAGCAATAATTAATAGATAATTACTGAGGCAGTTAGCGTTATGATATATATTAGCCTGACCCCCGTAAAAACCTATTGTGCTCGCTGTACATTATATTAGCGATTTCAGGCGCTTCCTTGTCATTTCTTGCTATACAAACAATGAAATTAGCATGAATTCCCCTTCAATAAGAACTCTTTTCTTTCTCAATTCTGGAATGAAATCATTTCAAGATCTTCCAAGTGACTTTCAGTCCTTGTGTGAAGGGTGTTTGAATAAGTTACGACTCCTCTGCACACAAACTTCTGTTTGCAAGTGCGCAGCATTGGAAAAGTCCTTTTTCAACCACTTAGCCGGTCAAAATGTTGGAAAGAAGATCGTCACAAGAAGAACAAACTTGTGAAGAGTCCTCGAGCACAATATATTAGTGATATGTTTTGTTTTACAATGCCTCGATTGCAATTGGCTCCAATCAAATGATCGGAAAGGAATGTTCTTTTGTCTACTTTTCACCTAGGTTATAGGAGATATCTATTCTAAGCGTACCTTAGAAATTCAAGCGAAAATGGGCGGCAATTGGCCGCCCGGATCTAGAAACCGTAATTGGGATAATATCTTCATCCTCTCGGTCAGAAAAGTCGTTTTCTGAGCGCGTGTCATATTCGTCTGCATTTGTTCGCCCCTTCAACGATACAATCGTCAACGAATGTGACATCTGTCACTTTCCCACCTTCCGGAGGAGGTTGAACGGCTCCTTTTGTCACTGCCGAGCCTTACTGGCTGATCTCAAGAGTTAAAATCGTTCCCTAGTCCCGCTAACAAGTCCACTTTGGTGGAATCTTGTTTTTTCGTCATCGTCTGCACAGTTCTGCAGGCAAGGTCTCATTCTTTTCACTAGAATTCAGTACTAACAAGGCCTTCTCATAAATCGGTATCTATAGGCATTTTATAGTACAGAGTAGCCTTTTAACCAATACATTTATACAATACAACACCAAATACCAAGCCAATACACACTCTTTAACTCGTTTCCTGTTCCCGCCAGCATGGTCGGAAGCTCCAGATTCCATTGCTCGTCCGTAGTTCAGGCAAAATTGTCGCTCTTCCCTCCTAATTTCAGAGCCATGTGATAAAGTTTCGCATCAAAATCTCCTAGACCATTTTTACTGGACAAAAACTCCTTTACTCCAAGAAACGAAATAAGGTGCTTTTTTCAGCGCCAGTATACCAAAAAGAGAGTGTAAAAATATTAGATTCGAATTAAATTATTTAGCTCGTCAAAACGTGACTGGCCAATTGTTTCGCAGCAAAATATCTTAGTTCTTACTACCCGTGCCTGAGGGTCCTATTGGGTAAAATTGGCCCGAAGTCATGACAATACGGACCAATCACGGCGGGGCCTGTACATAAACGACTGAGGGCCAAAATTTCCATCACGGCTCAAGTAAGCGACTTTAGCGAGTAATTTTTTTATAAAGCGCTCTGACCAAACTTGCATATGACTGTGCGGCTTTTGCAAACAAATGTGCGCGTTTTATGACCGTTAACTTTTCAAACGACTACTATACATATAAAAAAAAAGCATAGAATCGACTCATTTATCTGGCCTGCAACATTTCTAGCGCAACACCTATTATTACTGGCTACACTGTTTGTATTATTTGTACCAACCTGCTAATCTATATATCAACAGATACTGATGAATGTACCAGCGGTTTTCACAATTGCCATAGTTCAGCTTCATGTACCAACACTGTAGGATCGTTCAAGTGCTCATGTAACCAGCTCTACATATGGAATGGAAGATCTTGCATTCCTCTCCCATCAGGTACAAAGCCAAGTCGGGTCTTCCATGCCACGTCATGAAAATGGAAGATGCAAAATAATTAACAAGTATCCACTTAAGTGGAGGAGAGTAGTGGTGGATAGCACCAAAATGTTAGTGCACGCCTTCGTAATATGTAGATTGGACAACTGTAGCTCTGTTATATGGACTTCCGAAATACTTAATTCAAAGACTTCAGTTCGTTCAGAACTGTGCGGCGCGTCTAATCTTATGCTGTTCTAAATATGACCATATTACTCCTTTACAGAGAGAACTACATAGGCCGTGGAACAGAGGATTGTTTTTAAAATCCTAGTGTTGACTTTTAAATCTTTAATTGATTTAGGTCCTAGCTATATTCGTGATTTGTTGCAAACTTACAAGCCATCCAGTGACACCTGGATCGAGGTTAAAATTTTATGTTATCGTGCTTTTTCGGTTTGCGCCCCTAGTTTAAATCTTGCATATTTTAAGAGCAACCTTAAAACTTATCTTTCTAGGCGCTATTTTAATTTGAAGTTTTGCTGTAGTATTTTTCGAATTTATTATTTACTAAGTTACTGCTTTAAACATTTTATTGTAAAGCGCCTTAGAGCTCTAGAACAGGGTGCTATATAAATTTTTGTGTTATTATTATTGTTATTTTATTTACCGAGCCGTCAAGCACCGAGGTAAATATCCGCCACTTTAACCGACAGTGGTAATGAAGAATAAATTTGTCTAAATAGAACTTGCTAATCACTCCCGAACCAGCCAATCAGCACGCGTGAAGAGCATTATTGACCCAGGTGTCAGTTACATGTGAACAACAGGGAGAGGATAGCTGATGACTCAAAAAGTAATCATGCAATGAAGGCTACCGGAAGTTTTTTTTTTTTTTTTTTTTTTTTTTTTTTTTTTCGCGTTAGAGGATGTTTAAGTAGGTTGCCTTCGCGGAAGATCTTCCGCCTTAATTCCAAAGGAAATATTGCTTGTAATAATAAACGAAGAAAGTCACAAGAAGGAAAACCATGACTACTTGAATTAAACTCATGTTGTAACTCTTTGACGTGATTATTTGGCCGTAAGACTATTTCGTGAGTGACTTCATTTGTTGAGTCATGATGGCTGGATATTGGCAGCGTTTTTATCACATTTTTTCCTGGAGTCAAAAACGTTAAGACTACTACACTAGGAGATTTTAATCTCTTAACTACACTGATAGGTAGCGCAGATATATTCTATATAAATCAAATAGCAAGGGTTTTATCAGATTCATTGCGATTTTTGGACACACGTCAACCATTTCTACTCTGTCTATTTTAGAATGTTTAAACTATCAAAGTCTGACCAAGGCAGACAGAAAGATAACCTACGGCAATCAAAACAAGGTTTGTGACAGAAGACTGAAGGGTTGGTATCGTTTTGAAGGAGCAGCAGGTACACGAATGCCTACTTCATGTCCACCAAAACAGCGATGTAACACTCACGCGTCCGGTTGGCTAAATGGTGCTCATCCCACAGTGGCTGATGGTCAGGTCACCAGCACAGTTTGCTTCCACTGGGGGTCAAACTGCTGCAACTGGTCAAGATCCGTCAAAGTGATAAACTGTGGCGGTTACTATGTTTACTACATAACTCACGCACCCGCATGTTTCCTCCGCTACTGCAGCACAGAATAAATCGATGCTGGTTCAGAAAATTATCGATAGCTTGAGTCGTCTTTTGAACGATGTTAACCGTGATTTATGTGCATTTCATTTAGCTATATCAGATAGTGTGTTGTGATTGGTCACAAATAATAATAATAATAATAATAATAATTATAATGATAAGTTAAAAATTAAAAAACAAGGAAGAAGTAACATTAACTAAGGGTTTTGTCATTATTTACAGCCTGGTAGGTAGAGAATTTTAGAGGATCAAAAAGTTTCTCAGGGGGAGATGGAAGAGAATCAGTCTTCGCCGACAGAGCATGACGGAAGAAGACTATAGAGAATTGAATTTCAATGAACTGGAAATGAGAGCGGAGGGATGGGGATCATAAAATTATACGGAACTGTACGGGGGGGGGGGGGGTATCGGGTAATCGTGACTCCAGCAAAGTCCTTAATCAGCAAAGCCCTTCACCCCTGCACCCTCCCCCTCCCCCCGACAGGTGATAAATAATGAAAAGTCCCCTGAGTATGACTGTTTGTAAAAGTTCTCCAGTAATCTTAATGATGAAGAAGCTGGCCAATGTGTAAAGGTTCTACATACATATTTTTTCTCGCGTATTTAATAAAGCATTGTGCCAAGATAACGATTTTCAAGGGCTGAGTTTCACATGAAATACACAAGAAACTTTCCTCTCAATAATTTCATGATGTGGTACCCTGTGTTTTTGGTGGCAAAGGGTCTTCCAAATCATTTGCACCGTTTACTTACTGAAATACACAAATAAAATACTCGCCAAATGCATCTGAGAACATCCACTTTTAAGTTACCTTGACCAAATAAAACTGAGTTAGAATACCCAATTATCTTGGTTTAAAATTATTATTTCGAAACTCAAAATGTCAAAGGCAGATTAATTAGAAACTTTAAACTCAGTGTTTTTTTAGTTATACTCGTGGTTTTTGTTTTGACTGCTACAAATAGGAGTCTTAAACATTTTTTTTCCTTTTTCATACATTTCATTTCATTTTTAGGTCCAAAACCTAAAAATAAAAGCAAAAAAACCGCTTAGGAGATATTGTACTGAACGTGGTCAGTATGGTGTTCGATAACGAAACTTTATGTAAATTATATGACTGCCGAATTCGACGAACCTCCCATTTAAATCAAACTCCTTTCATTTTCTTCCATCGTCCGGACGGGTTTATGACATTACAGATAGAAAATGATGTGCGACCATTAACCGATGAAATTTTTCGGCATAAGGTTACTACGACACCTCCGTGGGAAATTAGGCGCGCTCTGATTATGAGGTTTATTAAAAAGCGATCAATTTGCTGCAGAAAATTTAATAAAATTTTTCATTCAAGATGAGTTTATTAAGGCAGCGAAAACTGTAACTTTCACTACTTTTAGGCAGGAGTAAATCAGCGCTTGCCGCGAAGTTTCATAGCCAATTTCGTATAGAGGCATTTAAAATATATTCTTCTGACAATTGATTGCAAAAAAAAGTCCAGCTGCTTTACCAAACTTCAACATTTGAAAAATGCCCTTTGAACATTCGTCTGTATTAATTGCAGTAGCTTTAGATGGAATCGGTCGGTACTTGTGGCTGAGTTGCAGAGGAGAAACGCCGATTGAAGGCGTCACGTTAAGTGGAAGTTTTCAAAAGACTTCAAACTGACAAAAAAAGGAGAATATACTAAAAGAAAAGCCGTGAAAATTTTTCCAGGACAGGGGAAATTTAAAATACTTCTCAACATCTCAGGAAAAATGTAGTTCATGTTCTAGTCGAAGATTATACAATAGAGTAATTTCCTAAGTCATTAATTTCCAGCATTATTTTGGTGAACAGTATTAAATTATAAATTTCATTATGAAAGCCCTCTTATAATTACTAATTTACTGTATGTTATAAGGAAGGTATTAACGAATTGATAGATATAAAACACACAGGTATGTTCCAGTGGGTTGATTCCCTGAACGAAGTTATAAGCCTAAGCTTTTATTAGAAGGATGATCTAATCTCTGTAAGAAAGGAAATAATGTATGTAAAGGAAATGTAAGGATCAGGTCCAGCAGAAACATGTGAGGAGATACAACGAAGCGAAGAGGGAGAAGCGACCAGCGGCGAGTACTGGCTTTACTCCATCACAACGGGAAAAAGAGTTCTTGTTTCTTGCAATATGGAAAGAGAGGATGACAAAACTGAAGTTTTTTTTGTTCTTGTAATTGATGTGGATGTGAAAATTTTAATTCTTGTGATGTAGAGCTAGAGTAATTGATTTTTTGTGCACTGCTTGTCTCCTTTCAATGAAATCCTTGACACAACCGTCAAATATAGCGGTAAATATTATGTTATTTTCTCATTTGTCCATGTCTGTATTACATCAGTTAAAAAGTTTGGGAACACCTTACCCAAAGTAAGGATACGGTAGACCTTCGGAGGCTAATTTTCTTTTTTTTTTTTTGTTTTTTTGCACTAATTATTCAGCCCGTCAAGTGTTCATGGCCAACTAGAACCTGTCAACACGAATAAGATATACTTTTTGCGGCAAAACATTTTATAAACGGTAGCTCTTCAAATTCAATCGCGTAAACATTTCCTGATTTCGATCGCACGTGAAGATCTCTGCAATCGGTTTGGGTGTAAAACTGGACAAAAGTCTAACAAAGATAGCCTGGCCGAGAAGAAATTCGACACGAAAAGGCGAAAAAGGCCTCTGAAACAGACAAAGGTTCGTGGTTTGAGGAATTTTGGCTGACCGCACTCGATCAAAAAGTTCTACCGCGGCTGCTCGAGCCGTGTGAGACTTGAAATTGCCCATAAGCAGAGTTCAACAAGATGTTTTAGTTGCAACTTGTAGATAGTATTCTACGAAACATATTTTTGCTAATGTCTCCTGGGCCTTTGCAGATTGCCCCTGTCTTTCTAATGGGGGTCGACATTTCTAGTGGTCAGGGTTTTCAAGTAGTTTAACATATGGCCACCTAGAGGAGTGAAAGGCGTTAATTACAAATATTGGAAAAAACGAAAAAAAAAAGAAAAAAAAAATTCTTCGTTTTTATACAAGTGTGTCCATTTTCCATAAATTTTTCAAGCGTTAAAATGTAACCTGGATTTCTCGGTGATGAAATACGTTGTAGCTGTAAGGATTTTTAGATTTCTAAAGGAGTGCATATTTGTCCCCCTCGCGGACAAACCGGCAGAGGCAAAGAAGGACTTATTGACTGACCATCTTGTTGTTTGTAACAAGTTAATGTCAATTTACATTTTTCATGGATGATATATTTGCTTATTTTCGACAGATATTGCATTAATTGCACAATCTTATTCTTTTAACCATTTTTTATACAGAGGTTCATTTTACGGTCAGTGGGAAAAATGTCGCTTTGGCACTGTACAGACGTTTACAATTCCACGGACCACTCGCTATCTCAGGGAGAAACACTTTCATACGATTATGGAGACTATCCAGGAACATATTATGGTGGAAAGGGAGTGTTTAAAGAAGGGAAGTTTAGACTGAATAAGGGAACAGTGTTAAATATTGTGGTGGGACGAAAAGGAGGGGATTCAGTGGAGGTTAGAGGAGGACAAAGCACGAAGCAGACTGCAGATTAACTTGGAAAATCTGTGGAGGACAATGCTAGCACTGGAGGAGGGGGAGGAAGTTCTGTGTATACTGCAGATAATGTTCTGTTGCTGGCTGCTGGAGGAGGAGGAGGTGCATCGAGTGGGTATAGTGGTGTGGATGGTCACGCAACAAAAAAAAATCGCCACGTTTGGATTGAAACAACGGCAAGAGATAAACTGACATTGCTGGTGAAGTTTTTAGAATTCCCATTAAGCAAGATATTCGAACTTCCCAAACACATCTTGAAAAACCCTAAGGGTAGTCTGAAACAGGTGTCTTATAACAAAAACATTGTTAAAAGCTATCAGCTATTGAACCGTCAATTGAGGAGGAAACAGCTAATCGGAAAATTGTTGTGAACTTGTATTATGCGCGTGTATAATTAAACGAAGCAAATTATTATTGTTGTAAGTAGGTTGAAGTTATTATTCGAGATGAACACGTATACGATGTGAATCGAACGTGTATGCTGCAAGCCTTCTTCAGGTGATAATGTCGACTGGATACGCCTGCAGCCTGATCGTTGGAACCATGCGGTCAGATGCGATCGATCGACACGTCGCGATCCAAATAGACACCATCGTAGAAAAAAACGATTTGAATTCTATAAAAATTCATAACTTTTTCCTTTTTCTGCAAAAATATGATCCACTTAGTCTCACAGAGCGGATTCTCTGGTGTTAATCAAAAAGTAAATATTTAATATGCATTGAAGACAATACGTGTTGTGTTTCTTTAACTTTGCTAAAAATTCTTACTGCGACTTAATTTTGGCGGAGAGAACCGACGTCAATAATTTGCATGACGGGGTTATTTCAGTAGTGTAATCAACTGAGTTGATAAGGTAAATTGTACATTGGAGCGATTGGAATCGCTCTAACGAAGGGTTAACGAAGCTCTTGATGAAGGGCTAACGCTCGGAACGTCAGCCTTTAAAGTCTTTAAACTCTTTACGGTGGCCAATTTACGTTATCAATTCAATGGATAAACTAAATTACCCTGTTATACTCTCCCACCGACGCAGCACCACGGTTTCTTTAGAAACTTACCCCCACTATTCATTTGCATGACAGTCAGCTTCCCACATCATATACCAGAGGTAGACGGCTGGTCGTGCCTAAAAACAACACTAGGTGACTGGGCTTAGATATCTTTCTGAGAAGAGAGTTCTCACAAGCCTTGTAGTTTTATTCCAGTTATACGGATATTTTAGACTTTTCTTTCGCTACTAAAAATTAGCTAGAAGTTTGCGTTTGATTCAGCTGACAGAAACTCGACTCACACAAAGGAAAAAATGATAATGACCGGAAGTTGCCGGTTATGAGGAACACTCTTGCGTGAGTACCAGAGTTCTTTCTAAAAGATTAATTTTAATTGATATGTATCAC